TGCTGAAGGTCAGTGATGAGGATCTCGCCGGTGCATGCTGATGAGGCTGTGAGAGGTGACGATGATCGGCTTAATGCGACGTGAGTAATCCTTCTTTTTTCTGTTATGTATTTTATTTCGCGGTTGTATTCAATATATATGGTACACGCAAATGATTCACCCGGTGTGAGCTAGAGTAGTTGTAGGAGGATGCAATTTTCGTCTGATTTTGCATATGATCTTGCGATGTTAATACGGTCTTTTGTTGATAAAATTTGTCGTCACATTTGCCCCCAAATTAATTGAGATACAAGTTACGGAGAATTTCAAATCTAAAACATTTTACTAATAAGTTAATAAAGCTCGATAATTTGTTTTGATATCAATCTTTGAGCTAGGTTACCCGGACACTTCATCTTGGCTCCTGTATCCGTATCCATGTTCGTGTCGGACACTCTTGGACGCTTCTTGAGTATATACATACATTTATGCAGACATGTACCTAATTATACGATACATGTTTTAGTTTAAAGCACTCGCGAAACACTTTTTGGACCTATATATCTTACACTTCACATCAAATTTCTGCAACTAGTCGGACTCGGATGGTGTTCATCTCAGCCCATATCTTGTTCATAAGTTTGATTTTAAACGATGATTTGGATATCTAGTCCAAAAGTGAGCAATTTTTCAAGTTATAATCTACTCAATCAATGAAACATAAAAATGTTGTATGGACTTTAGCTCTGATAATATGTGATGAAAAAATAATATCGATTTTATATATATTACCATTTTCAATAATTATATATATAGCCGTGTCCCTAGATCCTGCATTTTACAAATTTACTGTGTCCTGTATCTGCACCCGTGTTCGTGTCCGCACCCGTACCTGTGCAACAGTCTTTGAGTTATGCTACAACATACAACTTTAAGGGAACAACCTTTGTCTCCAAAGCAACCTCCTTCATCACATTCTAACTGTACCAAAATATTCATGTTGAAGAATATCTAAAGATTCAGGCGCTAGCTTAAAGTCATCTTGCTGGCTCTTTACATATCCTTAAATAGAAAGAATAAACTTTTAGATTCTGTATAAGAAATAAGAGCATGCATAAATTTCAAGATCAGCTTATGCATGATAGAGAAGAACTAAGTGCTTCGCGTTGGGGCGAGTTAGGACTTGAAACTTCAAGACTATTTATATTCTCTGTCAAATTTCTACATTTGTAATCTCATGGTCTGACGGTCATGTAAACTTGGGTCATTTTTTTCATCCTGGACTTATGTTTGACATAAACCTTACTAACAATGTTCTCTCCTTCTCTGAGATAAAGAATATTTTAAGCTTGAGGAATTTAGCCAAAATGCACCAAACCATAAAAATAGCAGCTATGACGACATTGAAGTCTCCAAGAACATTACACAAATGTGAAAGTACCTTTTCCTTATTACACTTTTTCAATTATATTATTAGAGAAATAAAATTTGGAGTATGTTTAATTGTATTTTGTCTGCGCTACCTGTTTTCCTAGATTAAGAACCTTGCCTAGTGAATCTTAGTCCATGTAATATGAAACTTCATTCATGATTCTCTCCGGTCAGATCTTCGACCTTTTCTTTCTCCTCCTTACTGATGCAAGGTGATTGCTGAGTAATGGATTTTCCAGCTAGATTGAGAAATTGTCACACTATCCCCTCTCATCATTGTTTAACTGGAAAGTTACTTTAGTTGATAAAAAAGACGGTAGTAGATTTTTATTCTTCATCCTTTCGTCTTTCCATCTATTGATCGATTAAAGTAACTTATCTAGTTAAACAATGGCGAGGGAGTATAATAAGGCAGTTTGTGATAATCATGACCATGGTCCTGTTGGACCCTAGAGGGGAGATGATTAGGGTCTTAACGCTATAATTGAGCAATAAAAAATAAGACAAGCAATACACCATAATAATGAACAACAAATATAAAGGAGATAGAATGAGAAATCGTTATCCAAGTGACGCGCGATGCGTTAACGAGGTTCGGCCCGCTGACCTACGTCCCCGCACCCCACTCTCGAGGAGAATCTACTACATAACCCGGTTTGAAAGCCGGAACTTCTTCTACACAACAATCTCCACGAGATCTCACAACTACACAGTTGATCACCACAAGATCACACTCCCACACAGTTGATCTTCACAAGATCAAGCTCTCAACAGTAGTAATGGTGTAAGAACTCTCTCTTTACAATGTCCCTATGGCAAAGAGAAAGATTACACTGAAGCTGGGTCTTTACAATGTCCCTATGGCAAAGAGAAAGATTACACTGAAGCTGGGATGTGAACACAGGAAAACACAAAAAAACAAGTTTGAAAATTTTGGCTCTCAGTAAAAAAAAATCTCTGGTTTTTCAATGGCTTGGGACACTTGAGGAAGGAGTATATGGGGTTTAAATAGGAGAAAATACAACTGTTTAAACCCATACCCTAATCCCCTAAATCTAGGAAAAATCAACGCAAAAATCTGTACCAGAAGACCGTTTGAAATTAAGCGGCGGTCGACCGTACAATGTTCGTGGTCGACCGCGAGCCAGCTCAGAAACGAATAAATTTTCCAGAGAGTTCTACGGTCGATCGTGGGAAATTTCGAGCTCACGGTCGACCGCGGCGGTCGACCGTGAATGTTTCTGCTGCCCACTGACGAATGAACTCAGGCGCGGTCGACCGTGGTGGTCGACCGCAAACTGATACATACGAAAACACTGATTTTGATACTCTTAAAAATTCTGTAAAATATTTAATTGACTTCCAAAAAATGTGAAACTTATAAAATGTTTTTAACACTAAAAGCAAATTGTTTGGAAAATGAATTTTGCGAATAGGTCCTCATATTTGTGAAAAATAATATTTTATGAAAACGTTTAAAACTATAAGTATGAAAACGTGTGTGTGATATCCCAATAACTTCAATTGAAATCTGAACTACTTGCCTACATTCTAGCACTAGAGAGAAAATAAAAACTAGCTAATATCCTCACATAGAATACAATTCCTTGAGTCTTGATATAGCTTGAGTTGATGAAGCTTCTTATTATATTTGGTGTTCTTAAATGAACGTTGCTTCATCACTGTGCCTCCTCCTTTAGATATCATCGTTGGAGCGCATATTTCATCCAATCCTCCACTCATGGCACTAACATGCTTGATATATATATATTAACTACATTATCACTCAACAAGCAATTAGTACCGATAATGATGGTTGTAAAACATCATCAAAACATAAGGGCTAACAATCTTTTTTTTTTTTATGATGATAACCAACCATTATATAGGAACAAAATAAATATAGCTTATAGATAGTAGCCCCCCGTATTTATGAGCTCCCCCTTACTATGTGCACAAATGAGGAGAGTTCTCTCCCCCTTTGTCACCATCAAAATGGGGTAGAAAAAATAAACAAAAATGTATGTGAAATGCAACTAATCAAGCAAACAAATAGAACTTTCACATAGTGCATAAGCCCAAACCATTTCTTATGCGACAAAAATCATCTTCACCAAGAGGCTTGGTAAAGATATCCGCTAATTGAGATTTTGTGTCAACAAACACAAGGGATATATCTTGTCTCTTTACATGATCGCGTAAGAAATGATGGCGCACATTAATATGCTTGGTTCTAGAATGCAAAATCGAATTTTTTGAAATATTGATAGCACTGGTGTTATCACAAAAGATTTTTATATTTTGAAAATTCAAATCATAGTCAACTAAGTTTTGTTTCATCCACAAAACTTGGGCACAACATAAACCGGCGGTAATGTATTCCGCTTTCGTAGTGGACAATACAACACAATTTTATTTTTTGGAAGCCCAAGAAACAAGAGAATTTCCCAAGAATTGGCATGTTCCACTCGTACTCTTGCGATCTACCTTACATCCGGCAAAGTCGGCATCACAAAAACCATATAAATCAAAAGAGGTTCTCTTTGGATAAAACAAACCAAGATCAATTGTTCCATGAACATATTTAATAATTCTCTTAACGACAATCAAATGAGATGCTTTAGGAGAAGCTTGAAAATGTGCACATGCACACACACTAAACATAATATTGGGTCTACTAGCGGTGAGATAAAGAAAACTACCTATCATACCTCGGTATAGTTTTTTGTCAACATCCTCACCACTATCATCCGCATCAAGCTTGACACTTGTACTTATGGGAGTTGATGCATGCTTAGAGTTCTTCAAATTGAATTTCTTCACCAATTCTCTAGCATATTTGCTTTGAGAAATGAATATCTCATCCTTAGTTTGCTTGACTTGGAGTCCGAGAAAGAATGTGAGCTCTCCCATTATGTTCATCTCAAAGTGATCTTGCATAACTTTAAAAAATCCTCGCAAAGAGATTCATTAGTAGCATCAAAAATGATATCATCAACATATATTTGCACTAAAATAAAATTATTTTTTCTTTTTCTCACAAAAAGAGTATTATCAATTTTTCCTTTAGAGAAACCATTTCCAAGAAGAAAACTAGAGAGGCGAGCATACCAAGCTCTAAACCATTTCCAAGAAGAAAACTAGAGAGGCGAGCATACCAAGCTCTAGGAGCTTGTTTCAACCCATATTAAGCTTTTTGAACCCGGTAAACATGATTAAAAAAAGCATGATCTATAAAATCGGGGGTTGCTCAACATATACTTCCTCTTCTATAAAACCATTTAAAAAGATACTTTTAACATCCATTTGAAACAATTTGAAATCTTTAAAGCTAGCAAAAGCCAAAAACATCCTAATAGATTCTAACCTTGCAACCGGTGTAAAGGTTTCATCATAATCTATATCCTCCTCTTGATTGTATCATTGGGCAACCAAACGAGCTTTATTTCTAGTAACAATGTCATGTTCATCAAGTTTCTAAAAACTTATTTTGTTCCAATTACACTAGTATTGTTAGGTCTAGGAACTAATTTCCAAACATCATTTCTCCGAAAATTGTTTAGTTCATCATGCATAGCTAAAACCCAAAATTCATCATTTAAAGCATTATTAACCTTCTTAGGTTCTAATTGAGATAGAAAAGCAACATTACCACACTCATTCAAAACCT